ATCAGTCTATTACTCTCTCCCAACCCAGGTTCAGGTTTTGTAAGCTAATTTAACGATTAGTGAACAAACTTGTAACATTACTTAATATAGGAGAATTGTTTTGTATATTGGGAGCTATTAATATAATTAGTTACTTCTTTTATTTATATTATACGTAAGTGATGAATAGAGATACTACGTAACTTTTTCATAAAAACTTGGCCAAAATCATAATTCAATTCGTAGTATAAGTCAGTACTGTAAATTCTCAAAGTAATGGGCATCTGCGCAAATAGCAAAAGTAAGTATCAAACTATTACATCAATTTTGATAGAAATTATAAAGTTGTTATTTTCAGTCAAGTTGATTTGTTCATTGATTTACTTGTTAGAAATGAAAATTAAGAAATACAAAGATTTTATTAGAATTGATTAATGCTAATAAGAAAGATGGTATAGCAGAACTAAAAATATTATTATTACCTGTTAATAAAACAAATTTAGCTAATACACTTATTTATTTATCACAAATTGGAGTTATCACATTGATTGAGTTCTTTATTGAAGCAGATTTTAAAAAAAATCCTGATATTAATATGTTGTAATTTATAATGTGCATTTTTTTAATTGTTCTAAAAATAGAAAACTTATCTTTAAATATTATCTTTCAAATCAGACATAGTAACACTAGTTCCCAACATGTAGTAGTAGTAATACTTGTATTTTTATTTCTATATTATCTTTTTAAGAAAGAAAATATACCCACATGTCAAGGAATATGGGAAAAAAGTGTTATTTGATAATGAATTTGAAGTGAAACTATAAAAAAGTATTTTTATTTTTTAAAAAGAAAATATACTTGACAAAATAAATCAAAGAATTAAAATACGCTTCATGTATTGTCATACTTTGGAACACTGTATTTTGAGACAATGAACTGCAAAATTTATTAATAATAAAAAGTTAAGCAAAAATAATACAAAAAATTTAGTCTATTTCAGGATTGGCTGTGCTTTGCATGTTGTTGTACTTCGAATGGTAGTTGCTTCGAGTATTGTCATTGTGCTTTGAATGGTGATTACTTCAGAAAGTAGTGCTTCGGATGGCATAGTTTTGCTTATGTATTGCAGTACTTCAGAAAGAAAAAAAATTTATTAGTAAAGATAAAAAGCAAGGAAAATAATAAAAAATTAAACACTTATTCCAGGATTGCTGTGCTTCGCATATTGTTGTTATGTTTCGAATGGTAGTTGCTTCGTGTATTCTTGCTTTAGACGGCAGTTGCTTCATGTACTGTTGTTTTGCATATTTCAAAATATTTGTGCTTCAGATAGTAAAGAATTGAGAATAACGATAATATTGAGAAATGTGATTCAATAATAATAAAAAGCATCTAATTCATCATCGAATAACACATATTCCCTGTATTTAATGACATGCCTAAATAAACAATATATTTATTTTATTTTGTAAGTTTGCATACAGTGACACTCAAAAGTATTGCATCACCTGGATGATAAATTTTACGATTTAATAACATTTCATATACAATATTAATCAATAGATAAATAGGCTCATTATAATGCCTATATATGGACAAAACATCGTATCATATTTATTTTCCATATCATACATTTAAAAAAAAATAAACCACATTTTACACCAAATCAAGCGATCTATTTCTTTTGATTGTTTTGATAAATAAAAATAAAATCGAGATTACTCACTAAACTAAATAAATTTATGAAAATTTAATCCCCAATTTTAATTATTACCTAGTATAGCCATCCTTCGTATTAATTACATCTTGAATGCGTTCCTTCATATTTTCAATTAGCTTCATTAAAAAAACACATTATCAATTTTGATCCAAATTTTTTGTATTGTATCCCACAGTTGATCTTGAGTATGGATACCAGTTGATGACATTCTCAAATAATGATCTATTTTGTTCCAGAGATGCTCAATTGGGTTAAGATCAGGTGATTGGGCAGACCAATCAAGCAAACAGATATCATTCTTATCAAACCATTCGTACGTAGATTTGCTGTGTGTTTCAGATCATTGTCTTATTGAAAGATAACATTATTTTTATTAATTTCATACCACTGGATTGTTCCTAAAAGGTCATCATTTAAGATTTTGTGATATAAATTCTTATCCATATAACCATAAAGATGTACAATATTACCAATGCTGAAAAATCTGAAGCAATTCCAAATCATTATATTCCCATCTTCAAATTTTACTGTAGATTTTACGTGATGCTCTTTCAAAGGTTCATCATCATGTTTCCAGTAATATTCACATCTGTCTGAATTAAAAATCATAAATTTTGATTCATCTGACCAGATGATTTTGCTTCAATCGTTAATAATCCAATGATGATATTTTTTTGCAAATTTTAAACATTGAATTCGATGTGTTTTTTTGAGATATGGTTTTTTCATTTAATTTGTGAAGAAAGACCATTACGATGTAAAGCTTGCTTTATTGTGCTTGTGCTGACATCAATTTTATCATCAGTTTTTAATTTTTTTTGAATAGACGTTGCAGTGGGAAAACTACCATTTGAAATTAGATGTATAATATTTCATTCATCACGTCCAGTAAAAATTCTAGGATGACCTGGTTTTGGTAAATCTTTAAAGGTATTATGAGTATCTTTTTTTTTGCTTTATTCTTATAACGGAGGATTGGGAAATATTTTCACAATTTGCAATATAACGGGAAGAATATCCTTCTTTAAGAAGGGTATAAATTTGGAATCTTTTTTCGACAGGAATATGTGCCATAATAATTTTAATTATACAAGATAAAAGAGTGAATTCATAAGTGTATTTTATTTATAGGAGGCATGTTTTGTTTTGTTGTGTGTTTTTTATCCATTTATATATTTGTTTTGAAGGGGGAAACAATCAAAAGAAATGCATCATCAGTTTGGTGTAATAAAGTCCAAGTTAAGCAAAGTGGTGTTACATTTATTCTTTAAATTGTATGTATTATTTATTTATGCTTTTAACTATATATGGGCTAAGTTTCATTTACCTGTGGCATCTATATTGCTAAAAATTCCACGATTCATTTTTTTGTCCTAGTGATGCATTACTTTTGAGCGCCACTGTATGAGGAAAAATATTAAGGCACTAATTCTTAGGAATTATTAACAACAGTTCTTGACAACACTCCTTTAGAGTGAAGATTCAGTCCCTCCCAGGTGGTTCTTCCTCAGAGGCTAGTCTCTTCTGAGGCGAAGGTTCAATTCCTTCAGGGATCAATTACTGGCTATGACAATAATAATACACATAACAGCACACACATCCCCCAGCACACACATAGCAACACATATTCGCCGGGGGATGGAGAATATGTATTGCTATGTATGAGCTGTGCATGTGCTGCTATGCGTATACCAGCCACTACTAATATTCGTTATTCTTCAACCTCTCTAAGACGAGTTCACTGTCAATAGGTGTTTAAATAGGATGTATGGTTTTTTATATGATTACTTATTCGTATACAGTATACGGTAAGGTGTGGTTTTCGTTTTCTTTTTTTTGAAAAGAGATAAAGAATTTATTCTTGGAACCTATTTTATAAAATGTGTATGCGTCAACGCGTTAATAATGATATATTATTAGAACAAAACTCTAACACATCGATTAGACACATAATCCTTGAAAACATCTTATCAAACTCAAAGAAAGATGGAATCGAATACTCATGATTGTAAAAAATGCGAATATTGTCAAAAAATATGAGGAATGCTGGGAATTTTCAATTATCACAAACGAATTTATAACGATGAATTGACTAGTAACAAGATAAAGAATATCAATTATTCGAATGGATTCCTTTTGAAAGATTTACCAACGTTGGATATCTTGCAAAAGGAGGTTTTAGGACAATTTATAAAGCCACCTGATTGGATGGACTATTGGATTACTATGTAATTCCCGTGTGAGATCATGAAAAAAATAAATATATAGAAATGAAATACGTAATCAACAGACAAAAATTTTGAAATCACTACACAATTCAAAGCAAATTCCTCGAGTTATAAGCGAGATAAAAAATGAACATTTTCTAATGTGAAAATAACTTTTTTGTTTTCTGTTATAATCGAATTTTTCAAAAATAGATTCAAACTGCTCTAAAATACAACATTAATATTTATCTCTTTTTAATATTAATGTCAGTGGAATCTATTTCGAAAAAATACTACGTAGCGGTAGCAGTACGTACGTAGTCGGCAGTGAATGCAGATCTTTAACTAATATAATCTTTTGATTAATGACTAACTGTGAAAAGATTTTTTTAAAAATATTGCCATTATAATAATTAGACAAACGAAAAGTATAAAACTTGAAGTTAACTTTAATTAGTATCATATAATAGGTCAATTTGTAAGGTTAACAAGTTATACATGTAATATGGGTGAAAATTTTGTTTTTTGCCATCTTATTAAGAAGTGCATGTACATAAGTGTAACCAAACTTTATGCACTCGTCAATCTCTTAATTAATGCAGTACGTTATCGTTATCGTTATGGGACACCTTCAGTGTTTATTATCATTATTAATCGATTCCCAATTCTCAAATTACATGTAATAGATTTTAGAAATTTTTCTTCGTAGAAATAACAAGGTATTTCTATTTATCTTTTATAACGAACCACACATTAATAAAAAGATAGTAAATGTGCTTATTTTTGAAGCACTAATCAAAACCTGCATAACGATAAACCAAATTTGGTTCTAGCGCTAGACGTTAACGTTAATAAATTAAGATCGAGACAGTTAAATGGAGCAAAATCGCTTCATTTAAAAATCTTCTAACGCTAATACCGATACGTTATCTAAATTACTTATATCCGACTAAACAAAATGAGCCGAATTAAGTTCATTTAGCGCTGTATTTTTAACTATAAAAACATCAATTTTTTTTAGTCATTCATCATTATCATTTTTACGTAAAAATGCAATTGAAAAATAAAGTATTTATCATAACTGGAGCAGCTAGTGGATTTGGTGAAGCACTGAGTCAAGAGGTTGTTAGAAAAGGGTATTGAAATTTTGTTAATTAAAACTGTTTTTCTTCGTTGTGAACAAAAGAAACAATCTAATTCCATGATTAACTTAAAAAAGAGCTAAAGTGGTATTAGCCGATATAAATGTCGAGAACGGGAAAAAAGTCGCAGAGGAATTAAATAAAGAGTAATCATAAAGTTTTGTCACAAAGTCTTTTTTGCAATAAATGAATTTTGAAAATATAATTATTACCAATGTTATAGCAACAACAAAAATGCTGTCTTCACTAAATGCGACACAGCAAAACATAAAGACATTGTCAATCTGTTTGTAATCGCAGAAAAAGAATTCGGCGGTGTTGATGTGAGTCGTGCTATTTCAGAATCAGTTCTTCTTGTTTTACTTTTCATTTCACGGGCATTTATTAGTTCTAAATATTCTGAAATCTAAAAAAACAGGTGGTCGTTAATAACGCCGGTATTGGAGGCATAGGCATATTTTACGATCAAACTGGTATTAACGATAATTGATTTCGTAATTATTTTTTTAAAAAATGTGATAATAATTATCATATTTTTATATTTAAAACAGAAAGCTGGAAAAAAACAATCGATGTCAATCTGACAGGTGTAATTGAAGGAACACAATTAGCTATACCCTATCTGAAAAAACGCGGCGGTGGTGTCATTATTAATACTGGTTAATTAGCACTTCGTTATATTTTTAGGATTTTCACCAAAAATATGAAGTCCAATGCACTTACTAATAAAATAATATGAATGTATAGCGTCTATGTCTGGACTGTATCCTCTGAAAACTAGTCCTGTTTATGCCGCTACCAAGCATGGAGTCAGTAAAAAATTATTTTTTTGGATTTGTATATGGCAATTTTCGATTCAATATGAAATTAAATAAATTTCAATTCATATTACAGATCATTGGCTTCACGCGCTCACTTTCACATTTAGAACGAGAATCCCATATACGAGTTAATGCCGTAGCACCATTCTTCTCACGTAAGTAATATATAACGAAAAAAATATAATTTCTATCCATTTCAAAAGAATAGAAATAAATTTTTTCTTTGTCTCAATTCGTCAGCAACCGCATTGCTTGCTCCACTACGCGCCCATTCAGATTACCAGACAATGTTCAAAGGATTTGGTGTGGTCTCTGTCGAAGACGTCGTTAAAGCCATGGTGCATTGTGTGGAGAACGACACGCTTTATGGTGATGTTATTACTATTCTTCCTAATAATCCGTTGGGTATTTTGCCAAAGATTTAATACATATTTGTATCATTTAATTTGTCAAATCTAAATATGATACGGGAAGTCTATTCTCAATTATAAAAATGATAGATCTTTAAAATTTTATAGAATGAAATTTAGAAAAACTAAATCAGTAATATTATTCTTTGAGATAAGTTCTATCAAGTTATTAGTCGGATTTTAAAACTGGTCTTGCCTCCTTTTTAAATCGGTTCCGGTTTATTAAATGATCTTGTAATTAAGTCTCAGAACCAAGTTTTTAGACTGATTTATTTAATAAATAAATATACACTTATCATTATTATTCTATTATTTATTATTGCTTTAGTGTAATCTTATTCTATGTGTACTACTATCTAAATTACAGTTAATTATGAGATATGCGATACTACATGAATTACCCATATTGCATTTAAAATATAAGGTACGACTAGCCACCTATGACCTGTCTAAGAATTACAAGAAAACAAAGGGATCTGTTAAAACTTCAGTGTATGATTGCAATTTTATAGTGTGTAGTGTGGTGATATTTCCAGCTTTTTTGATTCTGAAAGGTAAGGGACAGAGATTGTTGACGTGATCTTCTGCGAGATGTTCGCATTCGCATAAATGTGGATGAGACCACAGTCAGATTTTTGTTTTTGTGGGAGAATTTGTCAAAGAGCCAAGAGGTCTTCCACGTTTAGTTTGTGATATTTGTTTTTTTAGTTTTGGTGTGATTTGAATGAATTTTTCATAGGTGTTGAGTGTTTTGCAACGAGGAATTCATCATATTTCTTTCCTTGCTTTATTAGAGAGCCAAATGATGAACTTGGATGCTATTGATCTGGCCTGGTGAGTATCAAAGTTGAAGGTTTTGATATATTCAGTGAGTTCTTGTGGGACTAAATCACTGTATAATTCGTTCAGATTGAGTTTTCTGCCTGTTGTAATTTGGGCAGATTTTGGTATCTGAATTTCGAATAAATTGGTAGTAAATGTTTGGATTTCAGTTAATGTAATGCTCAGGTTTGGATTTGGATTATGTTGATTAATGAATTTGAGAAGTTTTTTTGACACTTTGAGTTGGATGTTGTGGAGCGAGTTTAGTGCGATTGAGCAATTCCAGATGTGCAGTTGCGTTTCTTGTTCTATTTTGCATTGAGAACATGTGTCATTGGGATATAGTAATGGTTTTCTTTGTTTGAGATATTTGAGTGTTGGTAGCATATTATGAAAATATTTGATAAAATAGGTACAGAGTTTGGATTTGTGTGATTCAGTTTGGTTACTGTTGATTCTGCCGTCTTGATTTCACACCATATTGGTAGCCTTTCAATCTATTGAGAATATAACGTCTTGTTTGGTGTAGTTATTGTTGTAAAGATATTGCCAGTTGGCTATGGAATTTTTTTGATGTTGTAATTTAAGAAATGATCTTAGGTTAAAGTCGATAGGTATGATCTTGAGAAAAATGGGTGCAAAGTTTGAGTAGGGAAGGTTGTGATAGTCAATAAAGATTGGTTGTTTTGTTCTGCCTTCGTTGACGAGTTTGTCTACTAGATCGTTGTCTGGATTGTTGGAGTGGCTTTTGACTTTTTGTAGTTGTAGTTTGATTTGTTTGGTAGAGATATTGTGATATAGTATTTCCCAGAGAGACCAGTTGGTCTGTTTGAGAAGGGATTTGTTGGATTGAAGATGTCTGTTAGTGATATTGTGTCTGTGTCCTTGAATGGTGATTTTGCTGTCTGTGTATATTATTATTGGGATGTTGTTTGGAAGGATTTCTGATAGTGCGCTAATAGCGAATAGTTCTGTTTTGGTAGTCGATATTGTATCAGGTACGGAGAAGTTAAAGCTAAAGGTATGTGAAAAGTCTGTCCAAGCTGAGCCAGCGAATGTATTTGTTGTGTCTGCATTTTTGATTGAGCCATCAGTATATAGTGTGAGTGCATTGATGTTATTTAGTGAATTACGCGTGTTTTGCCATTGTTGATAGATTATTACTGGACTGTTGAGATGTTTTGATAATTTGTGATGTGGTGTTTGGTATATATTGTCATGTGAGTGATAATATTTGTTGCAGATTTTCCTGGGATAATAATTGTTGTTGGGATTTGTTGTTCTAGATTCCAGAGTGGTGTATCAGGATGATTGTGGGCCGTGTGCTGTTCTTCTGAATCTGTTTTTGTATTGCTTCCAGCTGATTAAATCTCTTCTGTTGTATTTGGTTAATTGTGAGAGAAAGAGAACGTTGTCTTGTTGGAGTATATGTCTGTGTTTTTTGTATGTGGACCATGATCCTGTGATGTTGCTTAGTGGTGAGAAAAAAATTTGTGGGTTAAAAGAAGGAAAATTACGTGTGCTGATGGTGAATGAGATATTTCTTTGATGCAAAAGAGGAAGGATGCTGGCGATTAGGTTATATCCAATGGGAGATGGTTCTGGTAATGGATTAGAAAGTA